ACATCACATCAAGTTTCTTGTTAAGGCAGTGTACGATGTGCTCCCAAGCCCATCGAACCTTCACATATGGGGCATAGAAGAGTCACCAGCATGCCCACTGTGCTCCAAGCTAGGAAACCTGGAGCACATCTTAAGCTGCTGCCCAAAGGCGCTTGGAGAAGGACGGTACCGTTGGAGGCACGACCAGGTCCTTAAGTCTGTAGCTGAAGCTATTGCAGCAGGAATCGAGTCAGACCCTCCAAGCAGACCATCGCCTTTGTCAGAGACATGTGTTGCAGGTATGTTCACTTTGAGCTGTTAAATGTTTTATTGAAGTGCAATTTATGTGTTTTCAATAGTACTGCTATATTGTGTCGTTACCACAAGATGGCAGCATAGCTTTTAATTTGAACACAATTGTAAATGTATATATATATATATATATATATATATATATACAGATATATGTAGATATAATGTCTGAAAATATTCAATGTTGTTTGTGAATACTGTTCATGTAAGTCATTTAGTTAATCTTTATTGTAACTCACAATTACAAACTAAATTGTTTTATGTTTGTAATTGATGTTATTGGTTTTCTTTACATTTGTATTTAGAATCTTTTTCCTCTAAACAAATTATACCACTATACGATCACTGTAAAAGTGTCAAAGGATGCTTAGCTGCAGACAGAGCAATATCTCACTGTAGTTTGGCTAAACGGTGGATCTGTGTATCTATCCCATCCGTCTGATATTTCAACCTGGCTCCTGTGGATTGTAATAAAGCAACAGCAAAGCAGGACACAGATCGTGAAATCTGGCTTCTTGTTGGAGGAAAAGCAAACTGATTTAGTTTGCAAGTTCAGTAGAAAAGGGGTATGGTAGGCTTCCTCAGACCATTCCCAGTGACCTCTTCTCTCTGGTTCTACAGCTCACATAGTTGGGAAGGGTGCTTTCCATTCTAACATGGATGAAGTCCCCCGAGATCATTGTCATTTCACCAGCTGATTTGTACATGAGGGTCCCCAAGTCCCAGGCTCAAGAGTCCAAAGAGGGGCCACAGACGTTTTGTTCCCTGCTTGTTGCCTTTCTCTCAACGTGTCCGTATTATTTTACATGTATGCAGCTTGGTGTACAGATGTCTTATGAATGATCAGCCTTTTGGTGGCCCTCAAATGTTTGCCCCATGCCGTAGAAGCCAGCTGGTGTCTACTTCTATCTATATTTATAAATCAGGCTCTGAACATTTTAAGCCAAAAGCAATTGTAACAAATGTCTGCAAAGCATGGCTGAAAATGATCTAATATCAACATGAACATTTAAAACAAATAAAGAATGTTGGAATGAATGGTCCAACCACTTTGTCATGTTTGCAGTGTTCGTGTATCACCAATGCCCGGCTTGTAGCCTCCGGTTCAAAGGCAAACCTTACCACTCAGTCACGGCTTATGTTAATCTCAGCTATGTAGTTAATACACATGGTAATGTATGTGTGCAGGCCCCCCTCCCGGAAGGCAGACCCACAGTGACATACGTTCCCTGAAATGAGTTATGGCACATATAAAATGGCCCCTGAGGCTCTACATTGGGATGGCCACACATTGCTGTCTCTTTCAGCATTACAAAGTGAACATGTTGGCCCCAGCTGTGTTAGGACAAACACATTATTAGAGCACAGAAGAGCATGAATGAAAGAGATCGCTTAAGTGAAAAGAGAACATCCAAATTCCCACTCCATACTATCCAACTGTTCTAATGTGAGGGTCAGGATCTGGTAATAAAGGAAGAATGTGTTTGTACACATTCTTACGCTGGTTTGCCTTCACTAACTGTACGGAGGCTCAGTCACTGGTACATCTTTATATACAAAGCCATGTTAGGGAAACTTCCATCTTATTTCTGCTCCCTGATCTCACGGAGAATTGTAAGTGGCTACTGCCTGAGATCGCATGCTGTGGTTTTATTAAATGTGCCAACTGCTAGGACTATCTTAGGGAAGACAGCTTTTAGATGCGCAGCTCCTCTGTCTTGGAATAGTCTGCAACTGAAATGGAAACTGAGCAATCTGGTGCCCCTAAATGTTTTTAAAGCTCGGTTGGATGCTACTCAATCGGAAGCTGTTGGTCCCTGTTCATGTGGATAGTTATGTAAATTATAAATCCCTGTAATGATGCTGTATGATGTCCTTTTTGTTGTTCTGTTTATGTTTCATGTGGAACCTATTTGAGCAGGTCTCCCTTGAAAAAGAGATCAATGATCTCAATGGGATACACCTGGATAAATAAAGGTTTGCAATGAAATGAAATGAAACACACAGCAAATCCTCATTTCATTGAACTCAACTGAGAATTAAATTGTTTGTTTTTTGTTTAAAGGGTCTTTACTTGTCTTGTATATTTTGGATTTAAGATTTTTAAAGCCCCTTTGTTATGTGCCTTATGTGTTAGGCAGTCTCTTATAAGTCACTAAATTAGATTACTTAATTTCTGTGTGTAAAACTTTGCAAAGATTCCGGCAGT